CTCATTTGCTTTCAGGGCTATATACCAATTGTGCTGAAAGCAAAAGGAGTTTAGAAAGAGCCTTTTCTCCCCAGTTCTATATCAGTTCTCAACAAGTAATTGCAGAATATGGGAGACGTTAACCCCCTAGTGAGGCTGATCCCATCACCAGCAACTCCATCAAATGAGAAGTTACCCCAAAAACTAGGCAATAATTTAGAGATGATAAGAATGCAAAACAATTTGCAAAGAAATCTCACTAACGATTGGTGTTGTCAGGCCTCTGTTTTTTCATTATTGTTGTTTCTTGTTTCGTCTTGGATATTTGCAGTTTTAATTAGGTATAAGAAGATGGAAACTATTAAATGCAAAGGTGCATACAGCAGTGTGGCGTGGAGTACGTTGTTTAGTGATATTAACTTCCAGCATGAAATGTGATATTTTGAATGGTCACTGCAGTATAGACAATGAATATATAGTGAGAAACAAAGCATGTGGCTGATTTCAGAACTTGCATATAGATATTACCATTCACTACACTACAATGAATTAAGAGGAAGACAAAAACAGAGCTCTATTGTGCAAAGTAAGACTAACGACGTTGCATACAGTAGCTATTTTACACTAGGGAAATGGCCTCCACCCTCTGCTATTCTCAAAGCAGCAGCTCAGCAGCTCTCCCCAGGGCTGAGGGCTTCCACACAGCACCTGAATATCCCGTACCTCCGGCCAACGAGTGTGAGCCAGGCCCAGAAATTGTTCATTGAGAACAAAACACAGAGGAAGGACAATGCCAGTGCTTCACACGTCTTTTGCACAGGAATAAGCAGGAAAGTCTATAGAAAATAAGATCCGGATGTAATGGGAAATGAATCCAGCCAGCCACCCAAAAGTTATTGCCCTACAGCATGGATGGAGTCCTGCCACATTGCAACTCCTGCTTCCCTCTCCCTTTCTGCAGCACAACCACACAACTGTGGCTGCGCTGCTGACCAGGCCTATACACGTGGTAAGGGCAAAATCTGGCCATGCGTAATACTTATATGGGCCTCTGTATACACCACACAAAGGCACCCTAGGCATTATTTATATTGTATCCACAATTTACAGAGCATCATCTGCACGCAGCTGAAAAACTCATCCATTCAAACTGAAAATCATATCTGTCAATCAATATTGCTTCCCAGGATAAAAAGCTGATGTGCTCTCACTAGGGACTTCTTTGCAACGACATCGATGCCATACATTTACAGTTTGGAAAATGTGGCACCAGATATATTTTTCCCCGCTTCTTGTAAAAATATTCCACTGCAAAATACTGATGAATGCCTGTGCTGTAATTAAAACAAAAATAAAATTAAGTCATGCAATGAGGGACTTAATAGTAATTATGACTTGTAGGGTGGAAGGTTATTGAGCAAATGTGCAGGTACGTACAGACTCACGTATTCCCTGCACATGAATTAATCCACTGTGTAAGCTCTAGCTAGTCAAAAGCCCTCTGAAGAGATGCATACAAGTCAATCACTAACCTCTGCACGTCTACATACACTGAATCTCTCTTCCAGCACAGTGCAGCAGCTTACTTGGCTAAACCATCACTTTGTGTCAGTTTGGTTCCGAGTGAAAGAGGAATAAAAAATACTTCAGTGGGTTTATTTCCTCAGACAGAAACTCCTGGACTTGGCCCAGTAAAATTAAGAATAGGATCTTCCACAAATAGTTTCTTGCTCATAGCCTTAAGGAGGAATTAAAAATTACTGCAGTAGGTGACAGTTAAATCAAACTCATAACAAGAACATACATATTATGACATATGCATCTATTAGATATGTTTCAAACATGATTAGGTAGCAAGTATCTTAATATAAATATTTAGTAAATTCTGCCTATGTTATAGGAAGACCATAGTATACAGTCATTCTTGAAGAAACCAGCCTCAGATGAAACACAAGCAACCATATTAAATTTCCTGTTACAATATTGTTAAAGCAAACAACAAGCAATCATATTAAGATTTCCTGTTTAAAATATGTATAGATATTACTTTTTTAAATAGCAAGTAAACATCCTGTCCATCAAGGTTGTGTTACCTTTGAACTTCCTATCTCAACTTTACTTTTCTTTGCATAGAGAGCTCTGGAAAGCACCCCAAGGGCTTCTGCGGATGACGGTGGGAAAGGGAGAGGGAATGGGGAATAGGAGCAGAGACTGTCAGGGTGCCAAGTGCAGGGTCACAGATGGAGACTGTGAGTGCACTTCAGCACTGCACATCATTTCACAGAGAAGAGTGACCAGCTCCCATGTCCCAACATGTCAAGCCATCAGATGCCTCATTTCAAAAACAAAGGTGCTGCCTCTCATGGTACAAGGCCATTGGGGTTTGTTTGCTTGTGAGCAATGAAGCTGGAGGTGGGTCTCTCCTGGAAAGCTCAGGCAACTGATCCTTCAGTGACCCAGGTTCAAAGCTTATTTTTCTTCCCAGTCCCATCAGGTGGGACACTTTCCTTCAGGTGACTCAGGGGCCATTCAGCACCCACTAACTTCACCATTAGGACAGACTAGTGCAGCTCTCCTGCACTGCCACTGTATTAATGGGAAAGCAGGGTTTTCACTCAGGCAGATGCCTGTCCATGCAAACACGCATGTACCTCACTGTATGGCTCAGATGGGATCAGCACAGCACCACCTTGCAGGGCTTCACACAACAGACCTGAGCAGCAGCACAGACTCAGGGACATCCAGCGTCACCACCACCGACCCACACATCGCTGCGCATGATGCATCACCCACCCATGGCTTTCCTCCTGCCAAAGGATACCGAGAGTCCTCTGCCCAGCAGGAATGCTGCGTAGCTTAGCTTTGCTGTTTGAAAGCAGACTGGTGGGTGAAAGAGGGTAAAATGATGCCAGGTGTTCCTCATCATGACAGTCTGTGTATGGTTGCACTCAACTGCTATAAACCTCTGTCCTTATATCAGAGCACCTACAGCTTTTAAACATCATCACCCTGATTTTATGCTTTTCTGAAAGGGTGCCTCCCTTATAAAGCCACTTCAGGAGCTTTTGTCCCAAATTACTTTTCCAACCCCTGCCAAGGTCAGGGTGGGCTCCAGAGGAGTCAGAGACCCAGGGTACCTCTCTGGGCACGCATCTTGTGGAAACCAGCTGCCTCCCCAGAACTAGCTCAGCAGAGCCACAAGCAGCCAGCCTGTGCAGTATCTTCCCATCTGAGCTAATTTTCAGTGAGATTAGATTACTTAGGTGCTTGTGAAAATTCCAGCCCATCCTTGCAACAGAGAGGTCACCAGAAATGTCTGGAGGACATGAATTTATGTTTTACCTGTGCTTTCTAAAAACAAAGGATGGCAGCCCCCAGGGCTGTCAATACAACTCTTCTCAGTATCCTTACAGTCATTTTCAATTATGCTTCAGAGAAATGGATAAGGTTTCAGTTCTCTTTCCCTAGCTATTCTGAGACACATCTGAAACAGAAATATTCAACAGAAAGATGGAACTGGAGGAACGGTAGCCACGGAAAAACCACAAGTGCAGATGCAGGCTATTTTTGTTAAATGTGCTTTGTTGCATGACTTTTTATGATTATTTTTTTAAAATATGATGCATGTCCATTTTTTTTCTAATACATCACTGTGCTAAACACAGCAGTGCATTACCTCTGAATATAAAAAAGCCTGTAGCCCCTCTGTATGAAGAGGGAAATTTGAGTTAATTACCCACATCTCCTCATTAGTGTGCCTCTTCCAGCAAAATAAAAATTAAAGAGAAGCACACTAGCTGGAGTAGAATCGCTGAAAGGCAGAAGTTGCAGGATTACTGTTCAGTGCGCTGTCGTCTGCAGGCAGGAGAAAGCAGGAATGCCAAGTCCCTGGCATACACAGGAAACATATATAACTATTATTCTTTCCCATTTTTTTTTCAAATTCATTCAAATAATGCTTCAAAGGGGAAAAGGCACTTACAGTCACAAATATGGTCAGGCCACAGAAACTTCAGAATACAATGAACAAATAAAAATCTCTATTGAGATGTGCTTGCAAAGTATCTTTAGGAAGAAAGTAATCTACTTCCTAACTATGTCCATTTGTTCCTTAAACTACAGGGTTTGGACCTGGTGGAAAATATGAGAAGACTGTTAGGAGAATATTCACAGCCTAAGCCTATATACCTCACGCATCTCTATTCAAAGGATACGAGATACTCCAAGCCCACGCGATGCTTTACCTGCGTCCTTCATACCCATATTTACTACTGTAACAAGGAAGTGTCTCTGAAAATGCATTCATACCGCACCAAACACGCAGCACATTTACTACATCCAGAGTTAACCGGAACATTTCAGAGCAATAGGCAAGTTTAACACTAAGGAGTGCAATATTCTTGCAGAAGTATTTATGGCATGAGATTTGTGCAGACAGGGACATGGCTAGTATCGCACGTTGCCTATAGATTCAAATTCTGGTTTAACGTTGGCCTGTGCAGGATATTCCAGATCCTTTCCAGCTCCCCCCTCTCCCCCGCTTTACATTAGCCAGCAAACGCAGGCAGCAGCTTGCACTCAGCGGCTTTAGCTTCGTCTAAAACCAGTCAATTCAAACCAACGTTCATTCCAAGCCGTATCAATTAAAAACGAAATAAACCAGAATTTGTGTTAAGAAGAAACTGGCGGTGGAAAGGAAAAACAAGGTGACTATTTCGAGAGCCTACCAAGCTGCCCTGCAGTAACCTTTACCATCGCTCAGCTGGTGTTTCCCGGGGGGGCTGTCAGACAGCACACACCCCGACACAGTCACTTTCTTTTCTCCCCCGAGCGCTCCCCGCACGGGCAGGTTCGTGTCCGCCCCCCGGCCGCACGGCCAGCGCAGCGCACACCCCCCGAGCCGCGCTGCCGCCGGGAGCGGGATGCTCCGGGAGCGCCGCCCGGGCAGCGCCCGCATCCCCCCGCCGCCCCCCGCTCCGCTCCGCGCCGCGGCGGAGGGGTGGCGGCGGGTCGGTCCTTACCGTAGAGGAGGCTCCTCGTCACCTGCCCCCCCATGGCCGCGCAGCCCGGCGG